TTGTGTGCGTGGACGCCGGGGCTGGAGAGGCCACCGGCGGGGAGGGGGCTAGGGATTCATCAGATACCTTCCTCCTATATACATGACCATTGCCTTGGATATCGTCATAACTATGCACTTTTCTATCAATTACCCAACAGTAATTTGTTTACCCACCGTATGCTTTTTGTTTGAGAGAGAAGTCTCTAATGAAATATGGCCCCTGGGTCTATCTTTATCATATATTAAAATCCAAAAATGCTTTGCTGCAATTTATTTATCTTTATTTTATTTCATGTTTTTGTTTATCTATCTATCACTATGAGATTTGATCCTTACAATTAACCGCCAAAGGATTGATAACCCTTTGTTTGCATTGGGTGCAAGAATTTGTTATTTTGTGTGTAGGTGTTGTTCACGAGGTATTGTGTGGTTCTCCTACTAGATTGATAACCTTGGTTCTTAACTGAGGGAAATAAGTATCTCTATTGTACTACATCATCCTCTCCTGTTCGGGGAAATCTCAACGCAACTCACAAGCAGCAAAAAGCAACGCCGCAATTACTACCGGCCTTAAAATTACGGATGGGAGATCAAGGCTAAGGGGCCTTTTAAACCCGGCTGGAGGTAGTAAGACTAGAGTTCTTATTGACTAATAAGAGCATCTCCAATAGAAGATGTAGATGTAAAAATAACTACCCTTTGCATATCTAGGGCCCAAAACACCTCTTCAATAGATGGTGTAGATGCAAAAAAATTACATCTCCACCTCCAGGAGATGTAAACACAACAACTCGCGGTGCAAATTTGCATCTTCGCCTCCAGGAGATGTAAAACTGACGGCCACACACCAACCACATTTAGTTTCGTTCCGCCCGCCCGCCCAACGGCTGCCCGCCTTCGCCGGTGGTGATTTTTGGCCGGAAACTTTGTCGCCGCCGCACCTCCGTCCATCCCCGACCTTGCCGTGACTATCCCCGCCGCCCTTCGCGCCACAGCTGCCGCCGATTTGGGTTTGTCTTGCCGCACTTCCACTGCCGCCTCGCTGCCAGATCCGGCTGCTCCACCGCCCCAGCCACCGGTTTCTTTGTTCTTCCCGCCGCCCGCCTTCAAATTGGCCGAATTGGCCGCTTCTCCCCCACCGAATTGCCGCCACGCCATCGCATGATTTGAGCTCCCCCGCAGCCCCGCCGTCGTCGGATTCGAGCCATGCAGGTGCCGACATGCCGCCTCCGCCGCCGCTTTTCCGTCGTCGAACTCAACCTTCTCGCGCCGCACGGCCATCTCACCGCTGCCTCGCCACGACCAATCCGCCGGTCAATTCACAGCCGCGTCGCCGGCCGTTCGAGCTCCCGCCGCCGTATTCGACCTCCCGACTCTCATCGCTCGGCCGCCGGCGCACCTGCTGCCGCCGCTCCTCCCGGCTCTCGACGCTCAACCGCCGGTACTCATGCGGACTAGTTTTACATATTCATTTAGATCATCTATTGGAGTTGGACGTTTACATCTCCAATATACATCATCTGTTGGAATTGCCTCTTTTTTGAAGATGAAAATTTTTACACCTCCAAATTTGCATCTTCTATTGGAGATCCTCTAAGAGGGCAAAGAGAAAATTTTGTTCATTTCCACTCATTGTACATCGTATGAACAGCTTAGATGCCCCCATACGAACAAAACGTTAGTTTACTCATTGCTGTATTTTTTAGTGAAAGCATTGCAGCCGCATCCTACTATGTAAGCTGGTATTGATATTTATTTTATTTTATCTGTTGTAATACTGAGGTAATTGCTTATGTCATCCACTATTCATTTCTCACTTTTGCGCATGCAAACATACTATGCCGATTGGCATATCTTAATAAAAATCTAGCTTACATCTGAATGCATTGATAGATTAAAAGTACTCCCTCCGTCCTAAAATGTAAGACGCCTTTTGACACAGCTGTCGTGTCCAAAAACGTTTTATATTATGGGACGGATGGAGTAGTATTTATGTACACCTATAGAAAAGCCAACCAGGAGTATCTATGACGAGCACGGCTATGCACACCACACTCTGCACACGATTATCGCACTATAGTCCAATAAAGTCGTCCAATCATGTTTGGCCCCGATTGCGCAATGTGTTATTAGCAAAAGCCAGACCGGTTTCCTCAAACACCGTAACATTCTCGAGGGACCAGTTGCGTTACTGGAAATTATGCATGAACTCAAGCACACCAAAGCACAGGGCGTGCTCCTGAAGCTAGATTTCAAGAAAACTTACGACCGCGTGAACTGGGATTTCATGTGGGAAGTCCTCCTCAGAAAGGGTTTTGAGGCGGGTTTTGTGCGCCGCATCATGCACCTCGTATGTAGTGGGCATACGGCGGTGACCATCAATGGTACAATGGGAAAATTCTTCCGCAACAAACGCGGCCTCCGCCAGGGAGACCCGAGTTCGCCGCTTATTTTCAACTTTGTTGCAGACGCCCTTGCGACCATGATCAACAAAGCGCGAACAGCTGGGCCCATCCATGGGCTCGTGCCCCATCTCATCCTGGGCGGGGTTACACACCTACAATATGCGGACGATACGATGTTGCTTTTCGAACCCGATGATCTTAGTATCTCCTCGAATAAGCTCCTGCTCCTCGCCTTTGAGATCTTGTCGGGGCTGAAGATCAATTTCCTTAAGAGCATTGTGATCACCATCGGGATGGATGATCATGAAAGCATATGGGTTGACAACCTCCTACATTGCAAGCTTGAGGGCTTTCCAATTAAATACCTTGGCCTCCCGATCTCTTATCAGAAACTATCCATTGTCGAATGGCTGCCACTATATGGCAAAGTGGCCAACCACGTGAGCCCTTGGAGAGGTAGGTTCATGTCTTCGGCGGCTAGGTTGATTCTTACCAATTCGAGCCTATCCTCTCTCCCCCTCTTCACAATGGGTATGTTCCTTCTCGCGGATGGGGTACACGCTAAACTTGACACCCCGCGTTCACGGTTCTTTTGGGAAGGAACCGGTATCAAACGCAAATACCACTTGGTGAAGTGGGCTGCAGTGTGTAGACCCAAAAAATTCGGAGGCCTGGGGATTACTAACTCCAAGCTCATGAATGTAGCCTTGCTCACCAAATGGTGGTGGCGCCTACAAATGCCACATCTTCTTACAGACTTGGGCGCCATTGGGAAATACGCGTGATGCGGACCGCATGGACGGGATCATGGAGCAGATCAAGGCGACTATGGTGAAGACTCGACAAACTGTTGCGCCAGATTGAGACTTTTGCGATGAGTTTGTTTGATGTTTTTTTGCGAGCTCAAACCTTATAGTACTCAATCAAGGTATCATTACAATCCTCAGCAACTAACTCTAGAACTTCAGGAGGACCTGATCCTATCCAAGTCATAGTCCTATTATTAAGATGACCAAAAGAAGCTAACTTGTCACTCGTCTTATTCTGTGAACGAGCGACAGGAGTAATACAAGTTTGATGAAGGTTCAATAAATCTCTAATCTCATTAACTAACGACGAGTAGAGCGATCGATCAGTATCTCCACATGTGATCATAGCCACAGCAACAGAAGAATCCAGCTCAACTTGTATCGGCAAAGTTGTACGTTGGATCGATGAGGACAGCCCCTCCAAGCACGCATAAAGCTCGGCCTCCAGCGCATCTCGGCAGAATTGTAACGCCCTCCAAGCAGAGAAAATGATTTTTCCTGACTCATCTCTCAAGACCATGCCCGCACCAGCGTCATCGCATGACACGAAAGCTCCATCTGTGTTTAGTTTTGTCCACCCTTGCTTCGGTTTCTCCCAACCAGGCAACTTGGCCTTATGAGTAACCGGTTGAAACCTATTGTCCATCGTAATGTACGCTTTTCCTTTCGCTGAATCAGCACCATTATCATTCTTGATGGCCATCAGTGAGACAAGATAGCTCTGCAGGAATCGGACCGATACATCCATCTGCGGCGCCGGTTTATGATGCACCACCTCATTGCGTATGTATCAACTTCTCCAGAAAACAAGAAGAAGCATACACCTCTCGATCTCACTTCTTGGCGCAAGTAACTGCAATAGCCACTCCTTTCCACAGTTATCAATTGACCGTAGCCGAGGTAATCTCCAGATTTTTGCCATTTTTCAAATATAGATCCCTCCAGAGTTTGTTTGATGTTGAGTTGGTCTTTTGGAGTAATTGGCTCTTGCTATGTTGGCTAGAAACTGTACTTATTCAGCCTAGACCATGCCGGGATGTGAGGCCCAATGATTTACCTTCCGTTTGGTTTGTATGTTTTAAACTATGCGTGGATGCTGCTGAATGACTTTATTAATTTAAAGCCGGACATTTCTAGCGTCTATGTTCAAAAAAGAAAAAGTCGTCCATGCATGGCAACAAACGGCAACACATCACTAGATGGGTCATTGTGCAATGGTGGTGCACACTATTCGTTGTGTGTGCAGCAGTTTGGAGCTCTGAATGCGGAAACAACATCCTAGCAACTTAAGGGCTGCCGCTCTGATTCGAATCATTCAATGGATTCTAAATTCACAGGATCAGAAAAAAATGCAGTAGCATCGCAACATCATGTTGTCTTAAACCATGTCCTATACCAGTATGATTTTGATACATTTTGCTAAGATATGTATGCTCCAAACGAAAACACTAGTAAATAATAACAGCGGTAATGTAAAACAAGTTGACCGGGCCTCTTGGTGGTGGGGAAAAAAGACATGAACCTTGCTTATGCCTGGGAGGATACATTCAACACATTCAAACTTTAGTTGCAATATCACCCTTACATTTTAACACCTTTAGATGTACATACAGAGAAAGTGGAAAATGAAAACCTTGTTGCAACCAAAAGAAAGAAAATCCCTCCCATCCCCCACCTGCCTGCACATGCATGCTTCCTTATTGAATCAACAGCCGTCGGCACGTTGCCCTTCCAAACCAACGCCATGCTGCACCAGAATCACCACCTCATATACTCGGGGCGAACTCGATCGATCCATCGATCACTATATCTCGTATGTGATCCCGACTTTGAGCAGCTGGTCTTTGGGAATGGCCAGCACCTTGTGCCCCTCCGTCAAGTTCTTCCTCAAGAAGGTGTAGACATGGTTCACCACCACCTTCTTCAAGATGGAGGACTTGGCCTCCGCCGTGACGTTGGCCTCCCCCATCAGATACACCATCCCTCGCTCCACCTCCCTGTCAATCAGCTGCTTCTCCTCCTCCACCGCCTGGTTCGTGTGGAAGCTCACCCTCCCCGAGGCCGAGTGGCTGATCACCCGCGCCTGGCCTTGGACCGCCTCCTCGCTGTGCACCGTGGACCGCCACGGCCTCGCCTGGGCGTCCGAAACCTCGCCGCTCTCCTCTTCGTCCTGCGCGAGCGCGAACGCGCTCTCCTCCTGGATGAACATCTTGAGCCTGTCCACGAGGAACGCCGCGAACTCCTTGGGTTCCTCCAGCGCGTCGCTGTAGCCGTACCGCGCCACGCAGCGGAACATCCGGTGCTCCCTCGGCCCGACCTGCCGGAAGATGAAGCGCTCCGTGGGCACGACGCGCGAGATGGGCAGGTGCTTGATGGACATGAACATGAAGATGGAGTGCACGGAGGGTATCTTCTGGATCAGCCGGGGGAACACCGGGGGGATGCCCTGGACCAGCTCCGTGTACAGGAGGCCCACCCCGGGGATCCGCCGCACCTCGTTCTTCTCCAGCAGCATCGTCATCTCGCTGGTGGGCACGATGTGGTCCAGCTCGTACCAGTACCTCTTCACCTGGACGTAGTGCCACGCCGCCATCAGGCTCATCACCACCAGCGCGAAGCAGATGGGGAGGTACCCGCCTTCGATGAACTTTGACAGTATGGACGAGAGGTAGATCAGCTCTATGGAGCCGAACACGACGTAGAAGAGCATGATGAAGATGACGTGCTTCTTCCATATCAGCAGCATGACCACGGTCATCAGATGGGTGGTGATCGCAAACGTGGTCACCACGCAGATCCCTGCGCATAACCAACAACAGATGGGTCAGACCGTCAGATCAGATGAAACCTCAGTGAAACACAAAGGCCTTATCGATCCGTCGTTAGCTAGCTACTTACCGTAAGCATGGCCGATGCTGGTGGTCGTCCGGAAGGCGACCGTGACGACGATGCTAGCCAATCCCATGAGGAAGTTCACTTCAGGAATGTACACCTGCCCCTCGTACTTGTGCGAGGTGTGGATGACTCGAACCCTTGGCATGCAACCGAGAGACAGGGCCTTGGAGAGGATGGCAAATGCACCGGAGAGCATGGCTTGGCTTGCGATGATGGCGGCAAGAATGGCGACGATGAAGGTTGGCCAGAACATTGGTGCTGCACATAGACGTGGAGAGTTGATCTTACTTGTGCTATATGCTCTTACCAAATGCATGCATATTCTACTCCCTGAAGCAGCAAACTGCTGTCTTATATACTAGAAAAAACTCTGTACCTGGGATGGATCTATAGAAGGTGTTTGCAACGTTGTCTGGGAATTTCCTCAGGTAAGCCGCCTGCCCAATATAACACAGTGCCACCGACGGGAACAGGATGCCGTTGAAGCTGAGCTGCAAGTGTAAGTACGAAAGCCATTATAAGATCCGTCTGTTCTGACCTCTGAGGCAACAGGGAAAAATTGTTACTTCTGAAAGCTATATCTTCAGTTAAAGTGGTTACCTGAACAGCCCTGATGTTGAAATGTCCTAGGTCAGCAAACATGCCTTCTGTGCCTGTTGCGTATGACAATCAGTCAGTTAATTCAGATTACAGTTCTGCAGGCTATACTAGTTTGCAATACAATCGCTCGTCAGTTCAAATTTTCAGGTAGAAATTAAGGTTACCTGTGACACACAAGATAATTCCACCAAGTGACACCCACCCACTCTTCCCGTTCCTTACGAAGTATTGCACTATATACATGGGATTGAAGGCCCGTAGAACACCGACGTCGTGAACGACGAGGTTGTACAACCCGATGCCAGCAATCAGAAGGAACCACACTGAGATGACCGGCGCAAAGGTGTACCCGACCTTGTCGGTCCCGAAGCGCTGCACCGAGAAGAGCATGAACAGAATGGCCACTGAGATGAGGACCACTTGTGCTGCACAAAGAACAAATATATGTTAGATGTGATGGACTCATGGACACAGGCCGGGTAAAAGAAACAATCAAAGTTGTTAGTACTAATCCTTCTTCACATACTCTGAGTCAAGCTTGGCGCCTTTTCTCTGATCCCACTCACCGCAGAGAGCACTGCAGCACAGCACATCCATGAACAAAACATCAGTACAGTAGTGTTTTTTACAGACAGCACAAATGAAACTCTTGGCTCTTCATTTACCAGAGATTGCTGGGGTCAAGGTTCCATCGCCTATCACCATTGACGTGCCGAGGATGGTGAGGGTGAAGAGCACAATCTTGGCCGCCTTGCTGGACTCGAGCTTCTGCTTCAACCATTGCGCCCTCTTGAGCTGCGAGTTTGGCGCTTCTATGTGGTAATTGGACACCGCCGCATCCTCCGCCTGCTGGTCCGGGATCAGCCTGATCTTCGCGTACCGTGATATCAGCGAGTAAAGCGCAAACGTGCCACCTACAACACCAGAGTTTCTTGTTACTTCATTCTACTGTACTGTACAAAAACTGGTATGACAGCAGGCCGAGGTTTCAGAGAATGAGCGAGTTTAATTACCATCTCCGTTGTCGTTGGCGTAGAGCACCATGAAGACGTACTTGAGCATGGGTATGATGATGAGAGTGTAGAGGATGAGCGAGAGGACGCCCAGGAGATCATCCCTGTCCTTGATGCCGTCCGGGAAGGTGCTGGAGTAGACATAGAGCGGCGACGTCCCGATGTCGCCGTAGATGATGCCCACGCTCTGGAAAGCCAGGCTCAGCGTCCGCATCCAGCTCACCTGCATCCATCACCAGGAGCAAAGTAAACCAGAGTCAGTCAGTTTGCTCTGTCGCTCACATAGAACATTGCTGCAAAATTACATGGTCGCCAAGGGAAGGAACGTACCTGAGACCCATGGTGCTTCGAGTCGGAGACCTTCTCTGCGTCGCCGAACAGCGAGTCGTGGCGCTTGAGCGGCGCCGGCGTCTCCGTGCTCCGCGGGTCCTCGACCTGGAGCGACATTTCTGGTCGGTCACCCGCTGCTGCTGATGTTCAAGCTGCACGCTTCCGAATGCCTTGGAGGCCTCCTTGAGCTCTCCAGCGGGGCTTATATGGCCTGCATCAATGGCTCCAAGACTTTGAGATGACAGTGGTGTGAAAACCAAGTAAGTATAACTTTTTTACATTTCCAAGAATAAAAGGCTGGCTTAAAACCGGCGTGGGAGCATTGAAACTAACCAAAAGAATCATTCCTTTGTTCCTAAGCAAGACTCAAGGTTCATTGGGTAGCAAGTGCAGGCCCCTAATAAACCCCTAGTACTATAAATGTAACCAGCGGTGCGATGCATGTTTCCATATTCTAGTCAAAATTGTTGCTTTCAATTTTTAGTAAGCCTGCCTTGCGATTGTGTACTGGAGTACGTACTAGTACCATTAGTCTGTAATTGTTGGATTACTCTCTACTGATATGCTATCCTGTGTATGTAAACATTTCCTTTCAAGATTTTTTCTTGAATTGCACCGATCAAGAATCAGCAGGTTTCTCATGTCAGTCGCATACCTTATCGAAAAACCTCCATATGATTGAAGCATAAGTGACCTCATTTACTCTGTTTTTTACTACAATAACAATTGAAGCAAATTACTTTGTTTACTACAATAACAATAAATTTGCTACTCTGCATGAGTTCAACTCAGGGTTGAAGTACTATTGAAGAAGAGTTAGTGTACGCTAATTAGTAATTACCAATTTGTTCCGGTCACCAAATTGTTTTCAAGAATATCTATTGCTGTCATGTGTATGCATGATTATGCTCTTTTATAAAAGAACAGAGAGATACACCAACCCTGAGTCCAACTCATGCACGAAGATTAGTACTAGTACTAGCGTGGCATGACGTGAGGCAGTATATGCTACTAGTAGTACTCCAGTTTTCTATAGTTCTCCGCAGATCTTCTTGGGTCATGCACACCGCCCTCACTCACTTCCAAATGATAACGAACCCCATTAGTTTAAGTGGTGATCAGATCACAAATCAGCCTCATTGGCCACACCCTTGACCTTCCGAGGCCCCAAACTCCACACCGTCCACACCTGATCTACTACTACTACTAGCAAGCGTTACTCTTGGAACGAATCTTAATTAACTACGTGGTGCTGACATGTGCGCCCAGCTAAGCTGAAACTAATTAACGCTGCTACTTACTCTGTATCAGCAAACCTCTGTTCTGTTAGCGAGTGGTAAGAAGGTGTTCATTTCCTAGGAGTGTTTACAGAGATGAGAGGAAGGAAAGAATTCCTTTGCGCGGTGTAGTTTCAGTCCATATGCGTAATCAAATAAGTAAACACTTTGAGGAGAATAGGTGTTATGACACTCGAGAACAGAGCAAAGAAACTGGAGACACATGGTTCGAAACCAAAATAAAATAAAATGAAACAGGAGACGAAGCTCTCCCTCCTTTGTTGGAAAAAAGAACAGATGATGCGTGCGTGCTCCTTGCGTAAGAGAAACAGGCCATTGGAGGTGGGGATGGCGAGTAACTGAGCGCCTACCTTGCTGAGGCGACGCGTGGACGGCCGGCGGCGAGGTACGTTCGGTCGGCCGGCTGAAGAGGGGCAGGCGGGACGAAGCCTGAGGAGGAAGTACAGCAGGCAGGAGAAGGTCTGCAGAAGCTCAGCTCAGCTCGCACTGGGCTGGGGCTGGGATGGATGAGGAGTCAGAGAGAAGGCGAGGAGGCCTTTGTTTAAATAGAGGGATCGGCGGGGCATGCAGCGCAGTGGGAGCCAAAACGAGGAGGAGGAGGAGGAGGAGGGGTGGCTCGGAGTTTGGACTCGAGGTTTCCGCGGAAACCATAAACAACTGTGAATTATGTGCAGTGTGCTGCGAATTATTGGGCAGCAGCTTATTTTGAACGGAGGGAGAAGAGCAAGAAATGCATTTGCATCCTAGCCCGCCAGCCCGCCAGCCAGCCGGTCTTCGGCCGCCAAAGACTTTCCGTTTTTCTTCTCCGGGATCTACCAGCTGCGTCGTCCCGTGCAATAATTGATGCCGAATCCATTGTTTTGGTGCGGTTCCTCTCTTTTTTTCCTTCCTCTTTTTCTACAGCGGCGTGATAAGTGGTAACTTGGCAGCTTATTTTGAGTTTTTGACGTACGTAAGTAACAGAGAGGGTTGTTGGTTGTTTTTTGGGTGTGACCCAGATGTCATGCCTGGATTGGTTCGCTGCATAAAAGTTTCTCGGCTGCGAGGAGCCATGGCTCCGCTGCTTATCAGGATCGGACACTTCATCGTCATCCTCTCTTGGCATGTGTACAGAAAAGGTTCCGCTGCTTCCGTCCTCTGCAACTAGCAAGTGCTAGAGTGCACTCTGCCAACAAAAAGAGATTACCAATCACTGACTCTGACTTGAGGATAACTGCCAATGTTGAACGGCACTACTCAGTTCGCAGTAAGTAATCAGTATGAATTCATTTTTTTTTTCAGTAAGTGGAGCGACAAACTGTCTTGCAGTTCACTAGAGAATGACCTCCACCTCGTGTTTCTTGTCGTTGTGTGGTCTTGAAAAAAAAAGGTTTCTTGTCGTTGGATTTCCAGATGAAATCAGGGGAGATCCTATCAAGCCTCGTCCAAACCAAGGATCTTTTTTTTTTCTTGCGGGTGAAACCAAGGATCTTTTAGATTCAAAGGATTTTCATAGGAATTTTTAAGAGAATTGCACAAAGAAACAAGTTTTGTGGTTGAGGTTACACAAAACCACAACTTTAGGGGATTTCAACAAAAATCACGACTTTAGGACTAATTGGTAACACAAACAACAAAACAACCAGTTGAGCATAGATACGATGACAGAGGCCCACTAGTCGGTGATGGCTAATTTTTAGCTTGAGCACACACCGGAGCTCGGCCTGCGTTGAGCCAGTTAGATAGGAGCCGAGAGGCTAGATAAGAGTCAAAACCACATTGATTGAAATGGACTTGCCGACAAGTTTTATCTTACAAAAATTGTACAAAATCAAAAAATAGTTGTGATAAATTGGATGGAAATTTTATAGAATGATCATTTAAGATGTTTTGAATTACTGTAAAAAGTAGATTTATTTTGAAAACTTTATTTTTAAGAAAAGTTGGTCGAATCTTACAAGAACAGTCAATTTTTTTTAAAATGGCTAGCAAAAATGGCTTGAAGATTTATCAGATAGATCATTGAAAATGTATTGAATTACTAGAATTTATCTGATTTTTTATGTTTCCAACCAGTTTTGGCCACATTATAAGAAATTGTCCAAACTTTGAAATTTTTAACCCATCTTAAGTTTTTTAAATGATTTAATTTTATAAGTTAGCTAAGGTCAGCTCATCTTGAGGACCTCTCAAGCCAAGCCATCTATATAGTTAGTTAACATGTGACCCACATGTCATAATTCTCCTAAAATTGACTAACCAAAGCAATTTTATGTTTTCTGTTACTGAGTAGTACTAGAGTTGTGGTTTTGTGTAACCTCAGCGCCCAAACTTGTGTTTTGTGCAATTTCCTCCATTTTTAAAGATCAAACAAGATTTTATTTGTCCTGTGTTGATCATTTGATTCGTAGAATTTAGAGGAGTGCTTTTCTAAGGATTTAGTTATAGTACATTGTGATGGAAATTTAGTATCCACTCAAACCACTTGAAAAAAATTATTTGTTTCTCCTGTGATGACATCAAACAAACAAACAAAATTGTAGACTTTTCGTAGGCATGACATTGTAATTCTATGTTTTCTATTTTTTTTCCTTGAATCAAAGTAGGCCTAAAGGCTAGTAGATTGCCTAAGGATAATAAATAGTCATGGCGGCGAACATGGATTGTCTAAGGATAATAAGGCTTGATGGTTTACTCCAAAACATTTTTTATTTCACGAAAACACTTTAGGTTTCTTCGAAACATATTCAGTGTCTCTAAAGCTTTTCCGGTGACTTTCTCTCTTTCTCTTAACCTAGTACTCAGCAGATGGATGACCCTTAAGTGTGTGATCCGTAGGTTGGGTGAAATATAGACATGACCGAAACTCTTTTCGTTCAATGATCAATAATGGAACCGTGGACATGCATATTGACCCCTATGCCCACACGAATGGATATGCGAGTGAACCTTTAGTTACCACATGCTATTCCTATTGCTTCGTGATATGTTACAAAAATATGAGGTGAGATTTATCGGCATCCCTGTGAATCAACAACTTGTTCATTATGACAGTTTCCTTGTTACCAGTCTTGTTCTCTTTCTCGTTCCCGTGTTCATGCATCCCGGTGATCAAATCACATTTGTGTCTGGCCAGACAATGATAGATACCGTGACACCGAGAGGGCCAAAAGAATATCTCTCTATCAACGAAGGAGCAAATCCCACTCTCAAGCTATCTAATCCCTTGTCATACTTTTTCGTGAACCCATAAGCTGCCATAATTGCCACCCTGTTATGGATGAAGTTTGACAATTTCCCAAAGTTCATGAAGCAAGTATGAAGGATCTTGAACTCTCATGGTCTAAGGAATTTTGCAAATGATTAACTTTCTCTGTGTTATAAACGATTAACTTGTGACGAATGGATCTCATAGAATGACAACAATTGGGCCGGTTCAATACAAATGTTCTCGTAACATTGTGTTTTCAAAGTTTTCAGTATTGACATCCCCATGATCAGGAAAAATATAACCATCATGCAACACTCGAGCTAGTCTTATAGGCGAGACTAGGAATCTATTTTACCGTTCATTATTCTACACGTGCACATGAGTTTCCCTTAAAGCCTCGTGGTTATTGCAAACTCGAGAACCATCGCAGTCATAGCACAAAGTATAAACATTAATTACGAGAAAAATAATAAATTTTATTATTGCCTCCGGGGCATATCTCTTACAAATCTTGTCTTGGTCAGCCATGTCTCGCGACATGTCTCACGACTCACCCAAAAGCTTATAACTACCCAGTTATAATGTAGCGTTTGATAGACCTTAAGTGAGTCGATTCTCATCCCGAGAAC